AAGTAGAGCACCCGTGGTCCCCGCCACTCTGTCAGACGAAGAAAGTCAAACAGGTTTCCCTGGGGAGCAGAGGGCACTGCTGAGCCAACGGGGCCCCCCTCGGCTGTGGGAGCCAGGCTTTGTCCTTCACCAGTCCTCCCAAGTCTGCAGAGGCGGCCAAAGCCAGCCGGATGCTGGGCTGCCCTTTCCCGTGGCCTCCCTGCCCCGTGGCCCTTACTGCTCCCCCTTCCACCAGGAAAGGGGGGTCCTGCCGGCGGCAGAACATCTCTAGTAGGGGTGGCTTGGCCCTCACTCAAGGGCCTCATACAGTGGCCTTTCACCCACCGAGCCTGCCGAGGGCAGGGCCTCAATCCCTGTTTGTGAGAATCCAACCACAGGGAGGGCCCCAGGCCCTCCAGCCCAGGGCCCTGAAGTCCTGTGAACTTCCTCAGTCTCCACCCACAGGACCCTGTGGACAACTGTCGAGCTTGCTGGCAGGCTACAAGCTCCTCTGCTCCAAAGCCAGGGAAAGATGATACCGCAGTGTGGACATAACCGAGGGAGGGGTGGGGGCGGGGCGGAGGGGCCAGAGCTTGGAAGGACGGGGCCACTGGAGGTGCAGACTCGGCAAAGCAGTCCATGAGCCAATGGCATCACTGAGCCTCAGAGAGATGGGGACTGGGGGTGGCAGGGAGCTGTGGAAGAACTGAACTGAGGAGCCAGATGGGGGGCATTCCGAAGACAGTGGAGGAGGTGCCCCCTCATCAAGACTCTCGAGAGGCAGAGGAAGGAGAGGCTCCTGAGAACCACACAGGGTCTAAACATTGTCAGGCCTGAGAGCTGCCAGGAAAGAAAGTCCCCTCTCCCAAAGGCCGCCACAGTCTGAAGGTAGGGACGGAGGGCTGAGGACCGGAGATCTGCGTGCGGCAGGGTGGGATGCTGAGCAGGGGCCTGCCAGCTGAGCTGAGGCATCCGGATGCTGCTTTCCTGGCCAAGTGTAGGCTCCCCAGGCCCAGGACCGTCTCAGCTAAGATTCCAGCATGGGCCACCAATGCCCTGCATCTGGTCTCTCTTCCTAGTCATCACACAGGAAACGGGGATGGGTGTGTGTGTGTATGCGCACTGTCTCCACAGGCCCACCTCAGGGCTTCAACCAGGCTGGTTTTGCCTGTACCAGTGTTCAGTGCCAATTCTTCACAGTGATCATGGTGCATTCTAAGGCTTTTGTGCCATACTCAAGTGGGGCATTCTAAAGGACAGCAAGGCCTAGAGGCGAGGAAGCCAGGGCTCCTGGGCTATTGGATAGATCTCGACTCCAAACCCAAGCAGTGTGACCAAAGGCCAGCTCTCTTCTAACACCACCCAGGTTTGCTTCCTAATAGTCCTGCCCCGGTGCCATTGGCTCTAGCCCAGCAGTGAGCCTGGTCAGGGCGGGGAGCCTGGTCAGGGCGGGGAGCCTGCCCCTGCACAGCCTCGGGCCACCCACGAAGCACGGCGCCTCCCAGCAGCCCTTACCTGCCGGTAGATCTTGCCCTTTTCCAGGCCAGTTATACGGTCCCAGTGGAGGGAGCCCTTCTCGTCAAGCTTTCGAAAAGGCCTGGGTTGAGAGTGGAGAGCCTGGTTTGCGGGGTGTGACGGAGCCACACACGAGGAGGGACCTTCCTGCTCATCCCTATAGGCCCACCCACTCGACGGAAAGTGTCAGATGGGACACTGGCCAGCCCAGCTAAGCGCAGAGATCCCGAGTCAGGGCCAGTGGGGTGTGGTGCCCGAGTCTCCTTACTGGAGTGGGGCTTCCAACCTCCCCACAACCCCACAGTCCCTGGTCTGTCCATACTTGCGCCGGTCGGTGAAAAAGTTGGGCTTGTCTGCCTGGACGATGACCACATCAAAGAGCTGGCGCCAGTCAGGGCCGACCATGTGCCGCATGCCTTTGTCCCTGTGCAGAGGGGGCACTGGTTTCAGGGGGTCTGGGAGCAGTACTCTGCCCCCCCCCAGTGGGCCTGGACTCACACAAAGCTGAAAGGGCTGTTGGTGATGAGGAACAGCTGTTTCCCATGGGCTACCAGGCGGCTCAGGACTGCAAACGTTTCATCCCCTCTGAGGATGTACTTCTCTGAAAGGGAGGTGGTGGGTCGGCAAGGGCCAGTTCTGGGACCCTCTGCTCAGGCCGGCACGGTAAGGGGTACTGTCCGCCCTTACCCATGTCTCGCTCAATCCACTGGTACATGAGGCCCTTCACATGCACGTCCCGGATGGCATCCTGAGGGGAACCGGGGGGCAGTGAGGACATGCCAGGGAAGAGGGCCCACCAAGTTGCAAACAGACTTCGTTTCATCTACAGGACCAGCCGCCCCCCCCCCTCCTCCTCCTCACCGTCACATCCTTGTAGAGGTGTACTTGGTCAAACTCCAGGCCGTGGCCCAGAAAGTAGTCCACCACACAGGACAGCAGTGCCATCTCTGGGAGTGAGAAGATGTCCATGAACTGCTTGATGGAAGGGCCCTGGGGAGGGAGGTCAACCCTCAGCCACTGTATACCATGTACTAGAGACCGAGGGATCTGCCTTGGGGCGCTGGCAGGCTGTGTGACCTACTGACCACTGCCTCCCAGGATGCCAGCACCCACATCAAAATCCCTGGTCCGGGCTGCTTCGGGCAGCAGCAGGTTGTGGATACCTTGCCATAGAAGCCGCTCATCTGGTAGAGTGGGATGTGCTGGGTGCCACCGTACAGGTCAATCACTTCGTCATCTGGCACAGGCTGGAGACCCCTGAGTTGGGGGTGAGTGGGGGGACAGATGCCCTCAGCCCGAGCCCAGGCAGCAGTATGGGATAGGGACAAGGGCAGATTTAGGGTGGACCCCACACTAACCTGTAGGCTGTTCCCAGCTGGACATAATGAAAAGCGTCAATTTTCATCAGAAGGCTCTGGAAACACACAGCGGGCAGGGCCAGTGGTGAGGACGTCGGCTTTTGTCCTCGGCCCTGAGCCAGATTCTCCCCAGCACCTCCCAACCCTCGGCAACAAAACCTCTACCGGACGCTAAGGGGTCAGGGCGGTCCGATAAGGAGAAGGAGGCTGAAGAAGCCGGCCCTGTACGCGTCGTCTAACCACTCACCTTCTGAATGTCGTAGTGGAGGCCGCGGATGGCAAAGCTGGGATCATAGTCATACTTCCGGATGCCCTCAGGGTACTGTAGGACAAAAAGCCAGCCCTCAGCCCAGGATACCAGGGGAACCCCACGACTCAGTCTGGAGTGTGGGCCAAGCTGGCGGCCTCACCTTGTAGTGCTCTATCAGGATGTCCCGGGCAGCAGTGAAGATCTCGGGGTGCAGCGCGTCCGCGTACTGGGCCAGTGTGTAGTCGTAGTCAAAGCCATAGACTTCCACGTCACTCAAGCTGATCTCGTTGTTGGCATAGATGGCCGCTGGGTTTAGGAGGCTGCAGACCTCAGGGGGCAGAAGGTCTGGAGGGAAGGAGATACACAAGAGGACAGTACCTCGTGATGGTCACGGCTGCAGCAAATGGCCCAAGGACTTTGTGGGTGCCCGGCCCCGCGTGCCACACAAGACACTGGATTACTGCATCTCAGCTCAGTGAAGGCCAAACTGAGGCTCAGAGAGAAGGCGTGTGCCAAGGGAGGGAAGAGCTGACAACGGCCGGGCTGCTCTTCCCTGGGGATCTGGTCACAGTCACAGCCTCCATTTTCCACGTTACACTATCATCTGCAGTGCCTACTAAGTTCTACCAGACACGGGTGTGTGGGAACCCTGGCAGCACTCCTCAGAAAGGTCATGCCCCTCACTAAAACCTGTCCAGGAGGACCACTGTCCACTGGCCTCCTCCTCCACTTCCACCTGGCAAGGGCAGTATCAGGGACTGTGGACTCCTCCCACGGGGTGCTGGCTCCGTTCTGACCTGACTGGAAACCAAGGCCACGAATGCTGCTTTTCCACTTTGTCCACAGATGGGGTTGGGGCCCAAGAACATTAGAGGGGCGGGGAACCCCCAGGGCTGCCAACTTGGAACAGCTGCATCGCCCTGGGGAGTAAGGCCCCTCTAATCGGATTTCAACTGCCTGCCAGACCACATAATGACATTCCCTGGCCTGGGCCAGAGAACATTGCTAATTACCACAGGCGAGATATAAAATGTCAGGTTTTGGGGACAATACCCAGCTTGCTCTCTTCTGGTGACAGTCACAGGCCTCTGAAAGAGTCACAGGGGAAGACTAAGCGTGGCACTATGTCAGGAGAGTTCTGGGGTCCTGGGCTCACCCGCCTTATCCTCCCCACCTGGAAAGTGGGTAAGGTGAATGGAGAAAAAGGACAGGATGTGACAGGGCATGGGATGTGAGCCAGACGAGATCAGGCCCTCCCCCTCCTGCCGGTGAATTCAAGAATGCTAGCTTAGCCCCGGGCTTGTGTTTTTCAAAGGGGAAATAAAACCAGAACCAATCTACTTCGTACAGCATTCCTGCTCTGTCCCCACACAATATGCAGGCTCAAATGTGTGATGTGCCTGAGCTGGGAGCCCTGTCCTGGGTCTCGCTTGGTCAGTCCTGGAGTTGCAGGAGAAGGGAAGAGGCAGGGCTAGGCATGCTGGGCAGAGTCCAAATCTCCAGGGAGCCTGTCAGCCACACCAATCCTGATCATGATGCAAAAATCTCTGGCTCCACAGCATGTCTAATGGCTCCCGTGCTGTGCAGACGCCTCCTCTACGTGCCGTGCTGTGCCGAGCGGTTGCCTCAGAGGCCCCTTTGGAACACAGGGCTCCGCCCCCATTTCCTTTAGTGTCATGTACGGGGTGTAGGTGTGGGAACAGGTGTGGCTAGTTCCTCGGGTGGCCTGCAGCCAGCAGAGGGCAGCTGTTCTGAAGATCCCCAAGTGTGGACAGAGCTCTTCACTGGGACAAGCTTAAGACACAGCTGATGGCCTCCCTCTGAAGAACTGCTTCTGAGACACCCCTTACCCGGTGTCGTTAGGACCCTGGGCCTCAGCTGCCCACATAGGGTAATTTCCACAACCCTACACTCCTGGATGTCAACTTTGTTTATGACTTGCCTTAGCGTCCAGAAACCCCCTGGGGTGGGAAGCATAGGCATGGCTATGGCACCCTGGAAAGCATAGGCACGTCCACACCTTGCCTCTGCTCTCCAGGGTCTCCTGGGGGGCATATACACCTTCCTGGGATCAAGTAGGACGGGGAAGCAGTCCACAGGGCCCAAGGTTACCTGCCTCACTTCTGGACCAAGGAAACGATAGCTCTGGGGGGTGGGGTAACCGAGTCCCACTTCCTTCCACAGGTGATTGCTGGGCAGGCCGGGAGAGGATATGCCATGACCCAGCAGAGGTCCGATGTGTTTATATGACTGTCTAGACCCTGTCCTCCTTTCTTAGGTGAGTTTTACGGCTCATCTCATTCCCTCCTCCAATCCTGTGAAGTAGTCACACTTCTGTCTCCACCGGGGAGGTAAAGTCACCCATCACCAACTACCCAGCACCAGGCAACTAGAGTTGAGACGCACACTCAGGTCGCCCCACCTGCCTTAACTACCTTCTTTTCCTAGCCTTCTAGTCATATGAGGCCAAGCAGCGCAGGTAATGGTCCTCCACTGCTCTCTGAAGGGCCGGCCACTGGCCCTGGCCCTGGTCGCTTTGCTCAGACTCCTTCAGAAAACCCAGCCTGGTGCGTGAAGCTAGCTCACCCTGGCATGTTAGTGGAAGTGACCCCCCGCCCCACACACAAGAACTCAGGGGGTCTATAAGGATCTGAAGACACAGGAAGACCCCGAAGGGTATGAAAGTAGCCCCCCAGCCCCCCCAGACTTCTCAGCTACTCAGAGGGACTTCTGTCACACTGCTCACCCTGCAGTCGTCCCAATCCTCAAGAGCAACCATCTCCAGAGGTCTCAAGTATTCGGACTGCGGCTTGTCAAGAGGTGATCTCTGGCCAACCCCCAGGTCTCCAGCCGGAGTGGAAACCTCTGCCCAGTCACAGCTGGAATCTCCCTGACAGAGCCACTCTGTCTCCCCAGACAATGCAAGCCACATCACCTCTGGGGCTTCCTCCAGAAGCTCCCCCTCCTCCTGTTTGGCCTTGTTCTGAGTCATCACCACAATCCTGGGGCAGGAGACTCAAGACACTGAGGGTCTTGGGAGGGTGTGAGGAGGCCGAGGGCCGCCCTGCTGGGCAGCGATAGGGGCCACAGGCCAGACCACATCTCTCCGCTGCAGAGACAGGGCCCCACTAGATCCACCCAGACAAACGGACAGATGTTCTGCACTCAGATCTCCTGCCTCATCAGCCCATTCCAGAGGGAAAGAAGGGGGAGGGGGAGGGGGAGTGTCCTGTGCCGCTCGGGCTGAGACTACAGCAACATCCCGGGATTGCAGGGGGCTACAGTAACTTTTCTGTCCCCCCCACGCCTTCACTGAGCTTGTTTTGGAGTGCTGTAGACCGCCAGAGGCAAGCCAAGAGGTGCCTGCAATGTCGGGCCGGTGTCGCCTTACAGCGGGCCGTCGGTGAGCGCCGCTCACTCTTTGTCCACACACTGTAACCAAAGGCCAGCGGAGAACAAGGGACTGAGATTTTCACCGCCGCTGCCCAAAGACTGGACCCAGGACCGCGTGCGCAGCAGCCGCTCCGGGCGTTCCAAGCTCCCGCCGCCAGCAAACAAAACCTCCACTCGCCCCGGGAGTCGGAGTGCTCCGCAGTGGCACCTCCTCGTATCAACCCGATAGAGCCTTTTCCAAAACGCCACCTGACCCTCAGGTTTGGGGACCCTGGCGAGCCCCACCGGACGCTTCCAGCAAGCTGCACCCAGGACGGATGGGGACGGTGCCCCCGCCGTCTGCTGGACGCCGCCAAGCTGATGCCCTCCGGCGCACTGCCCACCCGGCGTCACCCACCGTGCACCAGCCTCCGCATGTCCTGGTAACGCGCCCACAAGTGCGCGCTGAGGTCCGCGCTGTCCGCGGGCGCCGAGCGCGGGGTGCTGGGGCAGTGGGCTCCGGGACCCGGCGGGCCGCAGCCAGGGCAGGAGG